CTCCCGCCGCTGCTTTTCTTACATCCCACCGTCTCTCTTTCTCACGGGAGACAATGACTAATGGCTCTCCAAGCCCAAGGACACATTCAAGTGGAGGGAAGAGAGAACGTTCCAGAAGCCCTTTTAAGAACTGCTTACTCTGCTTCCCAAACCCTCCTGTCAACTCTGGTAACCGAGAAGACCCCCTGAGGCCCGTCTTGAATTGTCTAAGACAGTCCAAGATGCTTCTGCGTATTTCAACTTGACCCAGCAATGCAAACTCCGTCCCAACGGCTGTGCGTATCCTACCCACCATGGAGATGTTCAGACTCTCCAGACAGCATCCGAGGCATTTCTAACTAGAAAGGTCCAACACTGCCGCCGCCGCTACTCTTCTCTCCCCCGGAGCCTCCTGCTCCCGGTTGAGGGTGCCGGAGCAAGTCCAACGGGGAGAGGCCTACGTGTCCTCCAGTTTGGAAACTTCACCCCAGAGCTCGGCCAAAACGTCACGTGTTGCTTATTCTCATGTCAGTTTCCAAGGAAGGGGGCAAGTCTTAAGTGGCAACATTCTGACAGATGTAATCCTTTTTCAAACACATACCTCCACTAATGTACACAAATTGGAAGCAAAAAGAAAAGCCGTGGGGGCGGGGCAGGGGCAGGGGGGGGTGGGGGGGGTGGGAGACGGCAACCCCAGGAGAAACACTCTGCCCTCTGTCAACAGCACCCCAGCACCCTCAGGCTAGAACACACAGCAAAGCATTGAGTAATTTAATCTCCAAAGGCAGCACTCTGGCATTCAAACTGCACCGGGGTCTCTAGAGCCGGGCCACACCCAGTGCAGTGAGAGATGGCTTCAGCGGGCCAGGAAACCACAGGCCCAGAAGGAAATAAAGGGTCACACCCAGGCCTTGTGGGTCCTCCCCACCCCTAAGGTGATGAAGGCTGCCCACCTCGGGGGAAGAGCTTCCCCAGGAAAGACCTGAGGTCAGAGGCTGGGCAGTGGGAGGCTCTGGGTAGAAGTTCCTGCCCTCCCTTCCCAGGCTCTTTGTGGGGATCAGTGCAAAAGAGGCAAGCTGAACCCTGATGTTAATCAGGCTGCACTGAGTGAAGGATGATGAGGGCCGGCGCCAGCCCCACTCTGCCTGTCCAGGCTGTCCTGGCCGCAGATCTCCCTTAGTGATAAACTCAAAAGCTCCACAGCCACCCTTAGGCCCTTATCCTACAGTCCCTGAGGCACACACAGAGCAGACACAGGGACCCTCCGCCCCCAGCCTCATGGCAGACGCCAGAGTGCTTTGCAAGGCTCCCCCAGACTCCCTACTCACCTCTGCAAAGAGGCAGAGCCCCCATCTGGCTTTCCTGCCACCAGCTTCTCCCCCCACTCTTCCCTGTGCGCTCCTTCATGCAGCTTTCATTAATTCCCTCAGCCGGCAATTTCCACCCATCTGACGACAGATTAGAAGTGGAATTCAAAAGGAAAGTCACTTGACCTCCCATAATGTGCTTCTCTTAATTACATTAAAGATTTTCAAATGTGGGCATACTGGGTTTGACAGGTGAGGTTTTAATCAACTTCAGGTGGTTACATTTAAATGCTCCCTGGACCGGAGCCACAACATGGGCTGCACCTAGGCTATCCAACGTGGTTCTAATTTAAATGACTAATTTTGACACAAGGAAAAGATGAGCCCCCACGGGGACACTTGCCCACATTGGTTGGGGAGATTTTCTAAATTAGAATTAATGCAGCAAGCTGAAATACGGGTACAGGTCCTTTTTATGGTGGGGGTGGCCCAAGTATAGCATTGATCCTTTGTATGCGCCTGCATATAATTACAGTAAGGTTTTCTTGTGTGTTGAATTATACAAACTCTTCAAAAGTGGGTACCTAATGTCTTTTTCTAAAGCTGTGTTATTATTTTGGTCAGAAGTTGTTTACACGAAACAAATTTGATTTACTAAACTCTGACATGTTTGCACAACTGCATAGAATTGATGTTGCGAGCCCAAAGCTTGACTTTCATGTGAACTTTCTTGGTTCTGACTTGGTAGATTGGAGCGTGAATGTTTAGGTGTGATGGCTTCCTCCACAACCCAGGTTCTGCAGCCAATTCATGTATTTCATTTTTTCTCTCCCCAAATATTTTAGTCATTCAGGAAACGGGTAGTGAGTATCTACTGTGGTCTAAGCGCTTCACTGGACAATGAGGGTATAATCATAGGGTGGCGGTGGGAGGTGGGGTGGGGGTAAGATGTGTAGTTCCTGTCTTAAGGCCCTTAAAAGACTATTTAAGGGAACACACGAGCAAAATCATGCACACAGACCTTTGACAGTGCAAAGGCAGTGGAGCTAAGAAAAAAAAATGTGTGTGCTGCTTTGAAGATCCACAGCAGAGCTGAGATCTGATCTTGGAGGACGCTGCTGCCCTGGGGAAGGGATTGTAACCTGGAGCGGGAGAAAGACAGGTAAGCTGGGTTCTAGAAGAAAGTATTTCAAGAGTTTTAGGCAGAGAAAAAGCATGAGCGAAGGCCCCCAGTTGGGGTGGGGAGGGGAGTATCATCCCGGGGCTCCAAAGGTAAATGGGTGTGTGCCTGGGATAGAAATGGATGGCTTGCAGCTACAGAGTAGGTGGTAGAGCCAGGCCAGGTTCCACAGGTTGGCACAGAACGTATAAGGAAACCTTGTCTTTATCCAAAAAGCAAAACTTAAGCCTATTCAAGAGTTGAAGCAGGAGGATGCCACGGTTCTTTTGTATCTGGCAAGGAACTATTGAAAGAGGCAGAGGAGACCATCTCGGGATTCAAAGGTGATGGGAGTGGGTTGGTTCAGAAACTTCATAGTGATCTGGAACTTAACTAAAGACACCATTGAAGTGATTTGAACATGTGGAGGGGTGGTACAGAGTAGATTGGGTGGCTTGGGGGAAAAGCTGAGCAAAGAAGTTGGTGTGATGTTGAGACGAACTGGCCAATCCATGCTTCCCACTTACACAGCTGAATAGGTGGCAGAGCTAGCCCCTGAGAGCCCGGGATTTATGAAGGCAGACTAGATGTGAGCGTGAGCAATGGGAGGGACTTGGGAACACATGAGGCTTGTCAAGAAATAGAGGCAAGTCCCTCGTGGAGCTCAGAGGACCCCTCCTTGAGTTTACATGGGTGTGACTGAAACCCTGGATGTGAAGGAGACCTTCAGCTGGAACAGCATGGACGGAGGAAAATAGGTGCTTGACGTATGCTTGAGATGCGGCAGTGTTCACAGGCTACAGAAACTGACACGGGCCAGTTCAGAGAAGGTGGCTGGGAAAGCACATGTGTCCGAAGGGCCAAGGAAAGAGGATGCCTCAGGAAGAAGGTGAGGCCAGGCCTGAAGTGTCAGCTACTGGGGAGGCTGAGGAAAAGACAATCTTAAACCTAAGGTTTGCATGGGCAGCAGAGTGAGTTCAAGGCCAAGACAGGCAACTTAGTGAGACTCTGTCTTAATCCCCCTAAACAAAAACAAACAATAACAACCAAACAGTCAAAACAGAGCTGGGCTGCAGATGATCAGGTCAGTGTGTTCCTAGAAAGCATGAGGCATGACATTCAGTCCCCAGAGATACTGCCTCAACCACTAGAAAGAAGAAAAGGCAAACCACAGCTTCCAATGATGCTAAGTAGCTAAGAGAGGCACTGGAAGGACCACTAGGTACAGTGATAGGGAGGTCCCAGGAAATTATTCTAACAGAAAAAAAAATGCCCAAATCCACAGGAATGCAGGCCGGAGTAAGATGCTAATGAAAGAGAAGAGGACATCATGGGAATGGGCACAGCTTTGGAAAAGTCCAACACTAAACAGAAATAGAAGGTTCTGGAGGGGACTCTGGGCAGAGCCAATGGTTGGCTGCTTAAAGACAAACCTGAGACTTCTCTGAGTCTGAATTGTGAGGGAGAGGCAGGCTCTGCAATCTAAAGAAGAAAATGACTGTCCCCCTGTAAGAGACTGATGACATCCATCAGACAGGTTAGAGGACCATGCCTTAGACAGGAGGGGAGGAAAGCTTGACTGATAGGCTTATGTGTTGTACAAAAAGATTTCTCCTGGGGATGGACTGAACATTTATTTTATCCGCAGACCAAAAGGTGCTCACAAGAGTGGAGTCTTTTTGTGGATGCTTCCAAGGGCATCAGATTGAGTTGGATTAAGGAGGGGAGAAGCAGACAGGTCATATTACCCCACTTGGGACCTATGGGATGGCTCTGAGGACTCTCCCCAACACTGCTGTGCATCTGGAGCATATTACCATTCAGGAAGGAATGGCTACAGCCATGGTGGATGGTGGGTGGTTATAGGGACCAGGAGAGGGCAATGTTCTGTTCTCCATGTTCTCTTGTTTTACTCTCCTTTTAGGACAAGGCTCCAACTGGTCCGAAAGAAGCTGAAATGTACCCAGCTATGCTTGGCTTTGTGGGAAATAAAGAGAAAGAACACGTCTGTTATCTGTGTGTGACGTACAGGCATTTGGAGAAATAAGATAATCACAATTTACACAGAAAAACCACACAGCTGGAATCAGGGGCCTGGGCTCAGTTAGAGAAAGCTTCTTGGAGGAGGCAGGACCTGAGCTGTGTGGTGGGTTAAGTAAGACTTGGACAAGTGCCCAGCAAAGGAGGACCATGGAGCCCTGCTTCCCATAGCTCCGTTTACATTTTTCTTGCTGACAATATTTCACTGAAGAAAGACAAGAAAACATAAGGAAAATATAAAGAAAATATCATTGACTTGCAAATGCACTGTGGTGATTTGGGTGAGAATGTCCCCCATAGGCTCATATATTTGAATACTTTATGTTCAGTTGGTGGAACTATGTGGGAAGGATTCGGAGGTGTGGCCTTGAGGGAGAAGTGTGTCACTGGGGGTAGGTTGTGAGGGTTCAACAGGTCATGCTATTCCCAATTAGCATCCTCTTCCTCCTACTTGCAATATCACTTCCTCCTGCTTGTAGATAAAGACGTAAGCTCTCAGCTACTGTTCCAATGCCATGCCACATCTGCCTGCTGCCGTGCTGTCTGGCAGGATCATCATGGACTCTAACCCTCTGACACTGGAAGCTTCCAAAGTCAACATTTTCTTCCTTCGGTAAGTTGCCTTGGCCCTGCTGTCTTATCACAGCAATTTTGAAAACTAAGACAAGTACATAAATGTGGTAATCATCTGTCTGACTTTCCTTCCCCCGTTATGTATGCAGGCAGGTCTGTACACATGCTCACACACACACACACATGCTCACACACACACACACATGCTCACACATACACGCCTGTGTGCACACATCCAGATGGGGCATGGCACTGCATATGCTAGTCTGTAGGGGTGGTTGTCTGTGCTTTGCCCTGAAGCACCACCGCCCCTAGTGAGGCAGCAGGTAACTGCTAGGTACCTGACCTCCCCGGAGGGGGGTGGGGGGGACATGGCCTGAGATGGGGTCCCCTTAAGACCTAGGAGGAGTACATGCTCCCTCTCTCTTCGCTACCCAGTGGTCTTGGATGCTGGTGCTGCATATCAAGGCAGAGCTCTCCTGAGAACCATGTTGGACCGTGCCCCGCTTCTCCTGGATTCCACAACCAACTCAATTATTCTTGTTGTGAGTTAAACCCTTAATAAATTCCTTTGACCTTCAAATAGACTCCGTGGAATTATCCCATTATCTGGCCCCCCTTTTCCCATTACCAGTCTGGAGTTTTCTAGATATTTTTCCTCCTTCAGTATTAAGAACATTTTCCATTATATTCATTCATAATTAGAAATAAAATCCCTGCAAAATTCCAAAATCAGAGACAGCTGAATCTAGTCAGTACATAGGCAGGGCCTGGGGGAGGTGTCCCAGTGACATCCTCAGACAGATGTATTGACGGAAGGCTCGGTCAGAGGACTACTCCCATAGAATGCCTTTCCAGGCTGCCAGCAAGCCTCTTGTGTCCATGAGAGCCAGAGGGAAGTGTTTCTTGAAGACTGAGGGGAGCAATCCGACCTGGCCACCTTTGCTTTGGCTAAAACCTTCCTTTACAATTGCTTTAAACACCTCAGGAGTTTGCCTTCTAGTTCTGGGTACCAGCACTGCTCTCAAGATAAAGACTTCGTGATTTAGGCTTAGCTTCTAGAAAAGAATCATTTCTCCCGATAAGAGAAATGGCCAAACATATGGTTCCAGTAGTAACCACAGATATCGCAAATGTTTATATAAAGAAACTTAAAAAAAAATTTTTTTAAAGCTATAACCTGCAGTGGTGGTACACACCTGTAATCCCAGCACCTGGGAGACTGAGACAGCAAGTTTGCCATGATTTTGAAGCTAGCCTAGGGTACATAGTAAATATCAGGTCAGCCTGGGCTACAGAGAGAGATCATTTCAATAAAAGAAACACAAATAAAAACGTTTATGGTATGTTCTAATCCTAACAGCCGCACTAGCAACAATCCCATGCATCAGAAAGAAAGTGTGTCTCTAATTAAGAAAGAGCTCTGGAGCACCAGAGGCCAGTCCTCTCTGAAGCCAAGGGTAGATAGAGGTGGAAGATGTGCCTGGAATGGATCAGACCTAAACTGAACTTTGAAAGACAATGCAGAAGCTTAGATTGCTGGCCTATGCCTGCAATCCCAGTGCTTGAGAGGGTGAGGCAGGAGAATCACCTTAAGTTTGGGGATAACCTATGCTATCTGAGAGCTGCTGTCTCAAAAGCTAACAACAACAACAAAAAATAGAAGTGTGTTAAAGAGCAGGAGCAGAGTATGCTCAGGCAGTGTAAGGCACGGGGAGGGGCCACTTACACCCCCTAGTGCTGAAGGACCTGCGGAAGACTTGTCAACTGAGAACTGTAATGGAAGAAGGCTCATCTCTCCCTCTTCCTAGGGGCTGTGGTAACTAGCACAGTGGGTCAGCACCGAGCCATGCAGTGATTCCAGTGCACTCCAAACAGAGGAAGACAAGCATTGGCCCAACCCTCAAAGGATCAGACTGCCGTGACCATGAATCGAACCACATAGGTCATGGCAAGTGAAGTACACTCTATCCAATAACAACAACTCAGCATCTCAGGCAGGGACCTTTCTGTGATCCACGCACCTGCAGCACATCACCGAGGCAGCAATTGGGAGAAATGTAAACTCTCAAGCCCCGCCCACAACCTAATCAATCAGCTGTGTGGAGGATGGGGACTGGAGATCTCTTTGACCAATCCCTCCATCCCTACAAGCTTCAGTTTAATAAACCCTGCTATAAACCCAGAAAAGGGGTAAACCAGCTTAGGCGAGGCATCTGATTCACCAGGTACTGGCCTCTGCCCCAGCCTCCCCCTGCCAGCAACCTAGAAGCCAGGAAGCTGAGAGACATTTTCAAAAGATCAATGCCTGAAATAAGCCCTGTGAAGCCCTCACTGCGTCCGGGCAGAAATGGCTGCTCTGGGACTCCAGGGGGATATTTTAGAATGATGGACACGCTGTTACCAGCAGCCCCTGCCTCAGAGGACTCTCTCCTCACTCTGGCAGAAGAATGGACATGATCAGGACTCTGAGATTGCTAACACCGCTGGGAGATGATGTATTTCTGCTAATGGCACCTTCTGTCGCTTGCAAGAAGCGGCTCCAGCTTCCTCTTGTCCTGCAGAGAATCTGGCAGTCTCCAGAAGATGTAAGAGAAACCTGAGGACATTTGGAAGATGCACTGCTCGGGAAGGGTGTTTTCAATTTGATTTACCTTCACCTCCTACAAGGAAAGGATAGTTAGTACCACACTGCATCAGGAGCCCAGCACGCACCAAGAGTGAGCCTGGGGGAGACTAAATAACCCTTGTCAAGCCTAGGAAGAGCGGTCACAGGCAAGCTTGTGACTGGCTCCTCCAAAGACACAATAACTGAGAATTAGCTTACGTGCAGCAGGAGGGATGTGGCTAGGAATGAGGAAATGACACCCCCATGCTTTATGGTTAGAGACCAATGGGGCACCCACCCACTGCCTGAAGATCAAATCATTGAGAAATCTACTCTCTGGCTGCCTTTGACAGGCAGTAGTGAAGGCAATTATTTGTACGATAAGTAAGGCCTTGGGCTTTTAAGCGGTATAGATGAAAACATCCAGGATGTGGATGAAAACATCTGGTGTGCTCAAGTCCTTCTGCCAGAATGTACCACCTTACAATCAGAATACATCTCAGATGGCAAGCTCGCTCACCTCCGCTCACAGGTGCTGGTAATGGTGTAAACAGACTGACTCCAAATGGAAGTTGTACCAACATTAGAGGGTCTGAGTGTTAGACAGTGAATTTGTTTCCACAGACTTGGATGCTTCAAACAACAGAGGACTGTTGTCTGGCAGTTCTGGAGACCAAAGACCTGAAATCAAGAATGTGGCCGGTCCAGAGGCTCTGGGAGGTAATCTCTCTTCACCTCCTCTAGCTTCTGGAGGTTGTGGTATGCTTGGGATTTGAGCTACACAGCGTCAGTCTGCCTGTCTTCGGGCTCTCCTTCTCGGTTTCTATGGATGTGTCTTGGATTTGGGGCCTACTCTGGTCTAGGAGGATTTCACCTTGAATTCCATAACTAGATGCTATATGTAAATACTTTTGAGAAATAGAATCACATTCATAGTTTCCAGGTGTGTGTATTTTGGGGAGGGGGGATGCTATTTAAACTACTATCATGATTTGCCAATGAACTTGGATTTGTTTTGAGAGCGTGGGATACATTAGTGGAAGAAAATGTAACACAAACTCTGCTTTTACAGATCTTCCAATAAATTCTAGCAGATGGCAAAGGAAAATTACTAAGGGCCATAAATAAATTCAATGAAATTTCTTTAAAAGTGGTTAAGTTCTGAGAGAAAAAAAAGAATAGATAGAACCAGGTACAAGACCCTTGACCACTGATGTGACTTATAGTTGGTAAAGTTTACAGCATGAATCACAGTGGGTCAGGCTCATTGAGAAGGTAAGATTTTAGCAGAGGTCTAGAAAAGGGAGGGAATTTACTGGAAGATGCAGTGCAGGCTGATGTGGCAGAAAGGGCATTGATGGTCTTAGCCAACTGTGAACCCTGTGAACTCCAGTGCCAACCTGTCAGGCAAGCTAAGCCAACTTGTGTAACAGTGGCATGACTGTTACGGCGTAAGCAATAGCTCGCTGATTGGATCTAAGGCCCGCGTCACAGGAAGAAATCGATGCCCAGCCAAAACTACAGGGCTAGGGAAGTCAAGAGCCCTAGGGGGAACTCATTAGCATTGTTTAGCTGGGTTGACATAGCATCAAATTGCTTTCTAAATATCTGTGTTTCTACTAGAAGCAAATGATCCCCTCAGCTTTAATCGGAGAAAGTTCTCTTTACAGTGAGCAGTGGTAGATGCAGAGATTCATGGCTACTCCAGGTGCTTAGAACAACTGTACCTGTCCTAAACAACACATTTATACTGCCCTTAGTGGCAAGAACAAAAAAGTATGTAAGAGCTGGAAGATAAGGAGAAAGACTGTTGAATGCCATGTTTAGATTTGACACGAACATTAGACTCATGACTTCTTAGCAGCTTTGGTTACCTGAACTGGGCCTGCTTAAGAGAAGCCCTGCCAAAGGTCAGTCATGAACTGGGGAGGGGACAGTAGGGTCCTATAGCACCCTGCTGAAGACTGATAGACTCCGGGAAAGAGGGGGCCACTGTCTTCAGCTGTCACCATTTGGTGAGTCACAAGCTCCAATGGGCAGTTCCAAACCCATGGTTCCACAGAGACTCCAGCTAAACTCGGTGAAACAAAACAAAAAGGATTTGAAAATGGGAACAGTATTTGTATGGAGGAGGGATGCTGGCATGGATAGGAAGGGGATAAGAGAGTCCACAGCTAATTTCATACTTATTTGTAACACTCCATTTCCCCTTAAAGACTGGAAACAAGAAAAAAATGTTTCCCTTATTGAAATTCTACACAGTCCTGTGAAACGGTGGTACCTGAGTGCCATGGTTCTAAGCTGTAGAATGAGACACTGAAATGAAATTAGTAACCTGTAGGGGGAATGCAGAGAGTAAAATGATTATCTATTACTAATATGATTATCTATTTGTAAAAACCAAATCTCAAATTTAAAAAGCACTCCTAGAAATAAGTGAGTTTGACAAAGTCACAAGAAACAGTTATATTTATATAAACTAATAATACATAATCAGAAACTGACATATAAATCAGCACCATTTACTATGCTACAATACACATAAAACACTTATAAACAAGGTTAACAGAGTTTGAGCAAGATTTGTGTGGTGAAAACTACGAAACACAGCTGAGTGAAATTTTAAATGGCCTAAATGACTGGAGAAGGATACTTATTTTCATGGACTCAGAATCATGTAGATGTTAATTCTTCCTTAATAAGCCATACGTTCAATATAATTCCAACTAAAATTCCACCAAAAATGTACAGAAGTCAATAAGCTGATATGAAAATATATAGAGAAAGAAAAGGAACTATCCAAACAACTTTGCCAATAGAGCACAAAACCAGAGGACTTATCCTATCAAAAGGCTCATTATGAGAGAGAAATGAAAACCTACATCCCCCCCGCAAAGGGGAGACCAAAAAAGAAGTTCAAGGACCCCAATGCACCCAAGAGGCCTCCTTCGGCCTTCTTCTTGTTCTGTTCTGAGTATCGCCCCAAAATCAAAGGAGAGCACCCCGGCTTGTCCATCGGGGACGTGGCGAAGAAGCCGGGGGAGATGTGGAACAACACCGCTGCGGACGACAAGCAGCCCTGTGAGGAGAAGGCTGCCGAGCCGAAGGAGAAGTACGAGAAGGATATCGCTGCCTACAGAGCTAAAGGAAAACCCGATGCGGCGAAGAAGGGGGTCGTCAAGGCTGAAAAGAGCAAGAAAAAGAAGGAAGAGGAGGATGAGGAGGAGGATGAAGAGGAGGAGGAAGAAGAGGAAGATGAAGAAGATGATGATGATGAATAAGTTGGTTCTAGCGCAGTTTTTTTCTTGTCTTTAAAGCATTTAACCCCCTGTACACAACTCACTCCTTTTAAAGAAAAAAATTGAAATGTAAATATATATATATATATATATATATATATATATATATATATATATATGACAAAGTAGTTAAGCAACATGCTACTGATGAAGGGGTCCACTCCATACAGCAGGACAGAGGGTTCAGAGACAAACGCCACACACATAAAGCCAACTGATGGTTCATAAATGTATGAAAGTAAGTGGAGAGATAATAGCTCTTTAAACAAAGGAAACTGAAATAATTTGATATCCAACTGAAAAATAATTAAGAACCCTCTACAACCCTTGCTACAGATTGACCTACATCAAGCATACATTTACACCATGTATCATATACAAGTAGGAACTCAAAATGGAGTGTGGACTTAAATACAAAGGCCATGACTATAAAATTTTGGGGGGAAAACTGAAAAAACAAAAAAACAAGAAACCAAACTTTTGTGCTCATGTGTTAACGAGATTTTCTTAGATAAAATAATAAAAGTTGATGTACAGAAGAAAAGAATTATAAATTGGACATTTTTTAGAATCCAAATGATTGTTCTTTAAAGGGCACTGTTGGCCGGGTGGTGATGGTGCACACCTTTAGTCCCAGCACTCGGAAGGCAGAGCCAGGGCGATCTCTGTGAGTTCAAGGCCAGCCTGGTCTAGAGAACAAGATCCAGGATAGGCTCCAAAACTACACAAAGAAACCCTGTCTCAAAAAACCAAAAACAAATTAAAGGGCACTGTTAATAAACATTAACAGGTATGTCTCAGACCAAGATGAAATATTTTAAAAGCAAGTATTTGAGAACTGACTTTTATCTAGGTTATATATGATATCTTAAACTCAGTATAAGGAAACCAAACAACTCAACTCTTGAAACTGGCACAGGATTTGAGTATGTTTTTTACCAAAGGAGACAAGTGAAGTGCAAATAAGCACTTGAAAGAATGGTTGATATCTTCATGCATTAAGAAAATGCAAATTATACCCACAATGAGATACTACCAACAAACCTATTGGAACATCAAAAGATAAAAATAAAAAAAAAATAACATATTGATGAAATGATGGGAAATAGGTAAGATGATTTTCATTTTACTGGAAGAAATGAAAAATGGTATTGCCACTGGTGGTGGTGGTGGTGTATACCTTTAATCCCGGTACTCTGGCCTATCTCTGAGTTTGAGGCCAGCCTGTTCTACAGAGCAAGTTCCAGGACAGTCAGGGATAAATAAGGAAACCCTGTCTTGAAAAAACAAACAAAAAAAAAAAAAAGAAAAGGAAAAATGGTACAGCCACCCATACCAGGAAGCATACACTTATCAAGAGACTCAGTCCCACTTTCAGGTAATTGCTCCAAAGAGATATAAACGTGTTGGTACACAATTTTCATGCACACTTAAGGACTCTACACACCCATTACAGCAATTTAATGAAATCACAGAAATCTATAAACAACCTAGAGGGCCCTCATCTTATGAATGGACAATCAGATATAATCATACAGTGAAATAATTTGTTTTAATGGTGAAAATTTTATTGCTAAAACAAAAATAAATAAAAAAAATTGAGTGTTGAACAAGCCAAGGGAAGGGGGGGAGGGGGAGCTACAGATGCATGTAACAACATGCACCACATGCATGGTGACAGGGGAAGACAAAAGCCATTTCTAATCCAAACAGTGTCTGAGACAAAGGACAGGAGGATGGTGAGGTCAGCTGATGACAAAGGACGGGAGCTGATTTGTAGGGATAATAGTAGTTCTTTATCCTGCTTGCTACGGTAATTATATCTTACATATTTATCCAGGCTCATGAAACTGTATGCTAAAAAGGGTGAATTATTATGCAAATTGCTTACTAAAATATAATGGTGCAAATTGTTTACCAACATGTAAATGTTTACTGTATGTCTTATTTATTTGTCTATTGCTATGACAAAACACCATGACCAAAGCAACTTATAAAATAAAGCATTTAATTGGGGGTGTATAGAGTCCATGCTGGTAGGCCAAAGCCATGGTAGGAGGACAGAGGGGTGACAATTTCCCCAGGTAGAATGCAGGAGTGGGGCTGAGAAGGTGTGGGTCTTTAGGAATCTCAAAGCCCAACCCCAGTGAAAGACCTTCTTCAACAAGGCTACACCTCCCAATCCTTCCCAAAGATTTCTACCAACTATTCAATCATAAGTGCCTACAGGGCCATTCTCATTCCACATTATATGTAAATTATTCCTTAAATTGGCTCTGATAAATCATGTCTACTTTTATCCTTGGCACTGTCCTGGAAAGAAATCATCTAGGTGAACTATTCAGTAGAAGTTACTAGATCTGTCCTCCCAGGCATGGGTAAGACTTAGGGAGTGGGTGGGAGCCTGTTAGATGTATAATACAGAATGATGTTAACACTGGCATGCAACATTTTTATATTACAAAGAGCTTCTAAAATGAGCTGGTAGGCATGGGAGTGTTGCATTTATTTAAAAGTTTCTGAATGCTTACTCATGATTCCTAAACTTATCTCATCGACCTATATTCATCTTCAGACTGGCACCAGACCATGCACAACTCTGAACAGTACTGACACAGACGATTTCCTGGAATGATGATGTAATATGTATTTTCAAAATTAAAAGTAAGCAATGATGAACACTAACATAATATATAATATAAAATATGGAATTTTTATTCAATTCATTTATTCCCTCAGCAGTGTTCCTGAGCCATAAGAGGGTATTAAATATGCCCAGCAGAATCCTGTCTTTATTTCATAAATGTATATATATATATATTTCATATATATAGTTATAGCATTTATAATTATAACTTATAATATGAGTTGTTATTTCTAAGTAGGTTTATTATATCTAAGTTTACTTCTCATGATATATTTTCTAGTTTATCTATTCAATACAAGTTTGGGGAAAGGGTCTTTGTTTTATAAACAGAGGGAAATATTTGGTTCCTCTTTATCTCAGAGGCTAAGCTTATCAAAGTCCTATTCTTCCATGTTGTGGCTCATGCCTGCAATTCCAGCTCCATGAAGGCTCACACATATAGATTGCCGTGAGTTCCAGGCTGGTCCCCACAGGGAATTCCAGGGAAGTCTAGACTAAAAGCTGAGACCATGCCTACAATCAGATATCCTTAGTTCCTGTCACATCAGTAGAGTTCCAGGGGGACCAAATTCTAGACTGCATGTCCTATAAAGTACTACTTATCTCTACCATGTATCTACCACATTTCTCTATGATAATAGGTACTAAAAAGAGTACAAAGATGTTGGTGGGTGGACACCTGGCCTCAAAGACCTCTGAGAACTTGGAGGTTTAAGGCAAGGAGGGAACAGAGTACCCCAAATGGCTCTATAGGAATAGGAGATTATAGGCGAATGACTAGGAGACTATAGGTGAATAATCACTGTTGGTGCCATTATGGAGATGATGTGGGACTATCATCAGAATATGGTCCAGCGGGAGCAAAAGCATCAGGTGGGGAACGAGAACTTCCCAGACCACTGTGGTAATAATGCACATATATAACTGAGGGGCTCTTTAGAGCTTGCCAATGACTCTGACTGTGGGGGTCAGGAATATAACATGGGAGGAAAAAAGGAAGCCAGGTTGCAAGGATGTGGCACAATGTGATTGGTAAAGGGAGGGGTGAGGCTGGTAAGACCATGGAGGAAGGGAGAGACCTAAATGGATGGAGAAGAAGTAAAATGGGCAGAAGCATGGCCAAGGTAGGGGTGGTGATAGCTTTGAAACCTCCTCCAGGAAAAGAAAGAAGTCATAGTATTGTATTGTCCATCTCCAACACAACACACAGGAGCTGGCCTGAGTTTGTCTGAAAGGAAATACTGCTGGCTGGAGGTTGAAGACAGGTGGGGTTAGGAGGGTCCTGGTTTGGGCTGTAACAAAAGCTCACTAACCTTTGCAGTTCGGGGTACCCTAAGGATCTCCTAAGCATTCATGGAGAGAAGAGAGGCCGAAATTGCCAACAACTTCATTAGACCAAATGAATGAGTAATTATATCATAATGACTTAATGGCCATTTGACACAAACTAAGAAGCAGAACTTGGAAGAACCCCTTTTCATTATATTCCTCATGGCTTGCAATTATTTACTAAGGGGACATGTCTACTTTTTGGGCCCAGCATAACATCCCAATCTGTCCCCTAATTGATGACAGGCAGTGACACCTGCATGTCTTGTTCCATGTGGATTTTCTACTCTCCTTTCTGTTTGTCCCCAAATCTACCAAAAACAAAAAACACAAAAACCTACTTTGCAAGACAAGTAATAGCATGATCTAGTACTGGCAGAATCTGTCCAATATTGCACATTGCTGTGCGGCCTTCAAACATTTAGCATCTCCCAGAGTATCTTGGGAGCCTTGGCATGCTGTTTGAGAATGGCGGGGTCACAGGATGAGAGGCAGAGATTGGACATGGGGCCCCTTAAGATGGAGAGGAGGTGTGTCTTTAAATGTCTGTGCCTTTTTCTGACGAATTAACATTGGCCATTAGGATCTAAAAGCCAGAAAGTTGGGTTGAGCAGGTTGCATACTGCATAGCTCTGTAAACTCAATAGCAAGTTTGGGATTACCAGTTCTAACCACCCTAGTTTACCTGTAGGGTGTGAATGTCCTCAACCAATTTGTCCCGTGATTCATTAACCAGGGGAAATTATTGAAGTGAACATTAGCTAAACATTGACCAAGGTCACTCTTTAACCTTCAGGGAAAAAGTGACCCTTGGCAGCCTGCATTCAGTCAACCTGTGCCACAGGCCCCAGAAATGCCAGCATTGCACTCCTGAAAAGACCTAGGATTTCTTGGCTCTGGGCCTAGGCAGGCCAAGGATGTGTCAGCAGCCAGTGAGAGGTAAAGTCTGAGGACAAAGCAAATTGGAAGGGGTAGTTTATAGCAAAGAAGGAATGTTGGGATATAA